AGAGAAAAGACTGTATTAGAACAGGCAGTTATAGAGTGCTATTAAACTCAGCTATATTTTTGTCACGGAAAAGGTTGTTTATATTACAGGAATCAGAACTTTTTTTTAAAAAAAAAAGAGGGAAGAAAAATATGCAGTGCCAAAATGCTAAAAAGTTTCTGAGTCATCCAATCTCATCCATACTATCACAGACAACTGCACCACATAATCCTATTCAGAAATTCACAAATTGCATTTTGTCTCGAAACATGTCTCTCAGACTTACAGAAAGCTTAAAGATACTTCTTTTCTGCTGTTATTCAGGTCAGCTAAAGCCTCATTCCAAAATGGTGCGTATATCTCTCCGGTAAGATCTTCGTTCATGTGCACAGATTACTCCAAATTTGTGAGGTCTGGAGAAACAGGGTTGGAATATTGCTCTGAAGCCAAAAGCACAGAAGCTGTGAGGGGGAGGGAAACTTAATATAAGTAAATGTTAAAAAAAACTACAACAATGAATAGAATGGCAAGAGTTTGAAAGGTCAGGGTATTTTCATTAAAGCTTGTGCCTCTTTGCTATGGTGATGGCAGAATCTGGGGTTTTGCTACTAGCCAGCTTTTAATGCCTCACTTACCCATGAGGAGTCTTGTTCTGGAGGGTGAAAATCTTTCCCTTTTTCACAGGGCACCTCTCTCTCCAGATTTCATATTCATGTTTAAATTAAAAAATAAATATATTTCAAAAGTGTATGAGGGATTTAAAAATTGACTATGCACACTAGGAAGATAACTGAGAAAAAATCCAGTGAAGGGGGAGCAGCAACTCAAGTAGCGCCTGAGTTTTCAAGGGTAAAAATACCTATCAAAATTCTGAGCAGAGAAGCTCCTAGTCCACTTCTGTGTCCTGGGTAATCTGCATCTGATTGATTGCGATGAGCCTCCCTTTAGTGTCTCTCCTCTGAAATGTCACCGCTGCAGTGCAAGCAAAACCGATGCACAGCCTGTCCCAAAAGGATCTGGTGATGATGAGGAGATGACTGATGCCTTTTGCCTGGATGGCTGCTGATCCTTTCGGTAGCTGTTGACATGTTTGGTAGCATGTAGAAGGCAGGGGGTGTGCACACTTCACGGTGTTTCTCAGAGCTGGGTGGCAGTAAGGCAGCCAGGTGCAACGGTGCCGGCGCTGAAGCAGCGCGCATCAAACCCGTTCTAATCCTGTTCCTGCCCGGGGCACCTACTACGTGATCTTGGTGGCTGCCTTTAAAGAACTGCCTGAGCACATCTTAAACAACTACCCACCTCTCTGTATTTGGCAAGTGTAAGAGCTTTTCCTTTTTACTATATGGAAGTTTTAGGTCATGAACCAAATAAATTTTATATCAGCATTGGCCAGCTGAATGTAATGAACAATCACAAACCAGCAGATTGGGATGGCTTAAAGAGACGACGTGTGCCGTCCAGCCGGAAGCAGGTCCCAGCTCTATGCTTAGTTTTAAATACAATAAATTAGTTGAAACTATCCCCTTTCTTTGCTTTAATGAGCAACTGCTCTAGAGGATGCTCTTAGGCTCTTTCTGAGTAACTAGAAAACAGAATTGCTGATGCTGAGAATTGTTTTTTTCTCTTTGTAGGTGAGATGAGTTGCAAGCAGAGTTCTTTGCAGGATAGGCATTCAGAACATGAAATAAAAGACTGGGTTTATATTCAGTAATTTTAGGAACTGTTCAGCTTAATTCATGCAACTTTTTAAAAGCTTTTCAAAATAAAAGCTTTAGATATTTCTGTGTATGATGTTTATTAGCAGGAATTTTGCATGACTTGAAAGATGCAGGCGCAGAATTATTAATTAAAAGAATGCACAAAAATTCTTGGTGAAATATCACAGAGTCCATCAACCACATCTCAACAAGTAGAAAAGCAAAGGTTTCTTAGCTAGCAAAATGAAATGAATGCTCAAGGGCAAATCTATTAAGCTCATCTTACTGAGCTACTGCTGCTCTTTTTGGAAAATGTTGCCGCACAAAGTAGTTCTAAAGGTCAGATTGGTTTAGATGGAACTAATTAAATTGATTCTGAACTGCAGCTTTTTCATCTACAGATTCAGCTCTTGGGTAAAAGAATAAACAAAAATATTCCTTATATTCATATATAGTTTATTTATGTGCCATATTTATCTATGATACATATATATTTTATTTCCATACAGATGACAGAAGTGTGAAATAAAAGGTTGGAGCTAGATCCGCTGCTGATGTAAAATTGCCATTGCATTCAGGCTAAGTTGTGTCAACAAACAGCAGCCTGTCAGATTGGCCTTGGTTCCTAAACAATATAAAATACTTAGCTGTCCTATATTTTAGCATTCCATTTAACTTTCCAGGGATAATGGCACTCTAGGGGCACATTATATGGGTAGTGATTCAGGACACTGTTGTTGATGGGAAGTGCATAGCTAAGTTTTGACAAGCTGTGTTGAGGATTTGCCCCTGAAAAGCACAACATAAAATCTTTACTAGTTGAGGCTAGCAGAAGGAACTCTTATACCTAGCTCCTAAGGCTTTTTATAAAGATGTGTAATGCTGGAATCACTGAAGATTCAGATAGAAAACAAAGGAAAGTTGGTCAGCTTACTACTCTATTTCATAAAGAACGACTACTTTTTAAATTTCTTTTTGTTTTTTACTTTTTGTAATGACACAACAAATGTACAAAATCTCTGTAAAGGAACTATTGAGTGGGCAAGCTGTGGGAAATGGTGATTGACTGAAATAATGACACTTCAGGTTTACAGGTCAGGATTCCTCAGGGTGCTAGAAAACAGCAAAGCTTTTGGCGATGCTTTGTTTTCTATATATATCTATATATCTGAATTAATTTAGTGCTGCTTTAGAAGTCTCTGAAAATACTTTTTTTTCCAGTGCATTCCAAGATGGCACATTATTATTACCAGGTCCTATTTCTGCTCTTCTTTGGCTTGCCTCGTTTTGGGATTTTTGGCTGTGAGTTGGGGTGCCCTCTCTGAAATGGCCACAATCCTGCGGATCGCTTTATTTGGGAATTTCCTGATTGCTGAGGGGAGGGCCGCGCGGCCTGGTGGGCTCCGGTGCCTCGGGAGGCCCTGGGTCCGCTGCAGCGCGGTCGCTGCCTCGGTGACGTCAGGCAAGCCGCTCAGCTTTGCTTTGCTTTGCTTCCCCTCTGTTTGCTTTGCCTAACAGAGCTTCTCAGTCTTCCTTACGGCCTTCCTCCCTCTTCCTCTTCTGCCTTCCTGCTCCTGCTCCCTGTTTAACATCTTTTAAGCGGCTCTAAATGGCAGGAGACTCGCTCGCCTAAGTAGGGTCACTGGCATGTGCAAAGTAGGAACTTGTATCAGCCCTTGCTGGACCAAGATCTTAGACTGAGAAAGACCCTAAAACCTTGGATTTATTTTTATTTTTATTTTTGTTACGTATAGTGTTTTGCACTTTGGTTCTGACTTCACTGCCTGTGTATTAACTGCAGAGAACCCCCTGGAGCACTCCCTGTAACTGAAAGAGAAAGATGGTTTTAGTCTTGTAAATGTTTCTCCATGGGTTCTGTAAGCTCTCCAGTCTCAGAATAGTCCTAGTGCACAGGAGGTGGACAGGAGAAGAAAAGGCAACATGGGTTCTGTCAGAGTAAAAGGGTGAGGGTGGATAGCGAATAAAATGGGAGTAACGGAGAGGTTTGCCTGAGTCACTGTTAGCTGAGAACTCCTGCAAAAAGCCAAAGTTCCTAACAGGGGAACAAATATGAACCTTAAGGAAAGTAGGGAAA